CACCATCGTGGAAGGTGACCAGCGCGTTTTGGTAGCGTGCAGCCATCCGCAACTGCAGCCGTGACTCCTTTGCTGCCGCTCGCTTCGGTGATCCCATCGCACGGTGCTATTGTGTTGTGCTCTGCAGCCACACACACGCACAAAAAAAGAAAAAGCAAGAGACAAAAAAAAAAAAGGGGGGGGGGGGAATGGGGTATGAGGACAAAGAGAAGAGACAGCAACGACAACAAAGGGACGGTGCAAACGCTCCGGCAGCAACACAAGTACGCGAGGCAGAAAAGCAGGCAAAAGTGCTCCTACGAGCCGGTAGCCCTCTGCAGGGTCTCCCGCAGCCGATCCAGCGGGGTGCAGGGGGATGGCTCCAGCATGTGCAAGGCCACTTCACGGACGAAGGCGTTTGCCTCCGCCACGGTGACACGCCGCGCGTTCATCCACCGCGCCACGTGCGCCTCCACCAGAGCTGACACCGTCCCCGCGTCCCCCGTCGCGTCGCTGCCACCGCACTCCACCACGCATGACATGACACGGCGTACAACGTGGTCGCGCAGCTCCGCCGCCGTCGGGAGCGGGATCTCAAGCCGGAGGTCGAGGCGACCAGGACGGCCAATGGCGGGGTCGAGTGCCGCAAAGTACGGCGCGGACGCCACGACAAAAACAACATCGCCATCACAGTGGCGATTGCTGATACCGTCCATCTCTGTGAGCAGCGTGCTGAGCGTGCGGTCGGCTGTGTTCGAAACCTCACTCGTGTGCTGGCCGCGTGGAGGTGCCAGGCTGTCAATGTTGTCAAGGAACAGTGCGGTGGGCGACATCGCCCGCGCAGTGGCGAAGAGCGCGGCAATGTTCTTCTCCGTGCGCCCCACCTCCTTCTCAATCAGTGCAAGGCCGTCGACAAGCATCACGTGCACCCCGCGTGCGCTCTCCGACCGCAGGCGCCGCGCCAGCGCCGTCAACAGCGCCGTCTTTCCACTTCCTGCTGGGCCGCACACAACAACACCCTTCGGCGCCATCACCCCGCAGCGGCGCAGCAGTTGCAGGTGGAGCAGCGGCCACACGACAAACTCCTCAAGATCACGGACAATGGCATCCAGCCCAATGAGTCCGCGGTAAGCGTCAAGCCGCGCTTCCTGTTCCTGGTTTTCTTCGAACTCTCTCTGCTTTGCGCCACGTGCCGCCTCGCGTTCCAACGTTTGTAGGAGCATATCCCCCGCTTGTAACGCCACCAACTGCCCAGCCGTATACCCTGCAAGTAATTCGGCCACCCTTTGCCGCACCTCTGGCGGAAAACTAGAGGAGGCACTGTGCCTGTCAATGTATCTCTGTCGCTCCTGAAGCGACGGGGGCGCGACGTGCACAACCCGTGAGGAAAGACGCGTGAGTAGCGTAGTAGGTAGTGACGTGGTGGTACTAGCTGTGGCGAGCAGCACAACGTGAAAATGAGCATGCGCCGCTCCCGCCGGTTCCCGCAGCTCCTCAAGTAGAGAGCACAGCTGGTGCGAGACAAGCGCTACCAACGAGTTTGCATCAGCCCACAGCAAGTCAGCAGCATCAAGAGTCAACAACAGCAGGACGGCATCGGTGCCGTTTGGCGACGCCACTGGTGGAACAGCAAAAATGCGGCGGAGCACCGTCACAGCCTCCCGCTCATTCAGCTGCAGCAGGCGGGCGACGCTAAGGTCACGGCGCTCCAACACGTACTTGACGCCCTGCACATCAACAACGGGCGGGAACTGCTGCGCTACGTGTTGCATTGTGTGCGTCTTCCCGACACCGTGCTCGCCCGTAAAGAGAACCGAGCATACACCTGAACGACGTGCCCGCCGCAAATAGTGGAGGATGTGACGCACAGCAGCTGCGGTGTGTCTCTCGCAAAGGGCGTTGCCCGCCTCCGCCAAAGGACGCAGCTCCACAGCTGTTTCCACAGCCATTGCTTCGATGCGCACGCGATCCGCCTCCGCAATGGCCTGCAACGAGGCGCCAGAAGCAAGCGCATGCTCACTAGGCGCTGTGCGCACTGCCAGGGTGACCTCCGCACCGCTGAACGGGTCATACACCCGCACGGAGGCTCCGTCAAGGACGCCGGAGAACATGACACTTGTACCGAGACGCGATAGGCCCACCAAACGGTCCGCCGCGCCAACGGCAACGCCGGCGTTTGTAATGGCGGAGAAGAACGTGCGGCGTGCGTCGAGCGGGTGATGGTGCAGCTCCTCAACCGAGGGCCACCACATTAGCGGCGCAGCCAGAACCAGCAGTCCCGTCCCGCCACGCATAAGCATGTCAACCCCCTCCCCCTTCCGTTCTCTTCTAGTGGCTGGAGGAAAACGTAGGAAGAGAAGTATGGCTTCATGAAAGTTTGCCCACAGGAAAATGGTGGGGATAGAGCCGATAATAACAACGTGATAAAGACTTTGATGAATCAAAGGCGACACTGTGCAAAGGGGTGTGTGTGAGTGTGTGCATGTGTGGGAGGCTCAAGCCCCCCAAAAAAAAAAAGGAGCAACAACGAGGGGAGAAAATAAAGAAACAAATTTGCGCCCCACAACACGGCCTGCAGCAAGTGACGTCAAGACACCCGCAAGACATCCTCGCTGCCGTGCAGCGAGTGTGCGCCGACGACTCACTCTGCTGCTCTGCGGCAGCCGCTAAGAGCGTCTGTTGCTCAAGCAAAAACCCCACGTCCTGCATGGTGAACTTCGCGCATCTTACACGAAGGCTTCCAACCACGTGCCGAGCGAAGTGAAGAGCTTGGGTGAAGGGATGCTTACGCGACCTCATTTCAATTTCGCCGCTCCCCCGACGTGGGGCTGAGGGGGCGCACCCCTCCTCTCTTTTCTCTCGGAGCGGCTGCTGGCACGCCGACGCACCCCGCGTGACGCCGCCGCGGCGCATTGGCAAACTCCACGGCTGTTCACGTGCAGTTGCCGAGACCGCAAGCCCCGCCCCACAACCAAACGGGCGAGTCACGCAGCTGCCACACTTTAGACTGCAACGGGCAAAACGCTCCCCGTACAATCGTCGCGTACCACAGTCGAGCTGAACCACAGATATGTTCGTTCTATCCCTGGCCCTCTCTCGCTCCTGCCCCAAAGATCATGTAGGAGCGCAGAATGTGCACGCCGCCGCGGTGAGGGCAAAACACTCGGGGCAGGTGGCACATTACCACTCAATTTCCCGCGTGTTGGTCTCCACGCTGGCGGCAGCAGCGGCGACGCCACCCCTGCCGTCTGCACCCAAGAAAAATTAGGCAACAGAGACATTTTGCATGCGCACATGCCATTGCAGAGCAGAAGTAAACCATGCATAATCCCACTCGCACCTCTCGCCAGGTGCAGATGCATACGGAGTCCATGGGATGCATTCCTGCCTCGCATCACTCGTATAGAAAAAAGTAACCCCGCATAAAACGTTGAACAGCGTCACAATTTGTCGCGCCCAGTGCCATGGCGCCCACAAGGACAAGTAAGGCACCCATCAAAGGCACTGAGATGTTGTTATTCTTCCAAGGCCTGCGCCACTCACGGAACAAGAAAGACCACAACAACTTCAGGGCTGAGTTTCGCGTGTTTTTGTCTGTCAGCATCCCACGCTTCTTCACACCACGATGAAGAAATTCCTTCCTCGCCTGTTGAATACACACTAAATGCTGCTCCTGAAGTGCGACAGCGTAACCCAAGATTTCCTCAACGGCCGCAGAATTCTTCATGGTTAAGACCTCCTTCGGGAGTTGCGTGAGCTTCTTGTATACGCTGGCCATGATCATCAGATTGTCGTCAAGACCAGCGGCGACTTCGCGTGCCCATTGAATGTACCCCATGATGCGATCCCGCTCGTGCAGCAGCAGAGCGGCAGTAAAGAACACAATGAGATGCTCATATGGATGCACAATAAGAAAATCAAATATACGGGCGAGGACTCTGTCGTCCTCGCAAACGTGCGCATACCACGTGATGAGCCATCCCACGGCGTAGTGCGACTCGGGGGCGACGCCGCATTCCTCTAACTCCTTCGCAAGCTCCTCGTCTTCCTTTGCCAGCACTGCGTGAACCGCGAAGAGCATCGACTCTGATTGTCTCAACTCCTTGTCACTAAAGGATCTCCATTGTACTTGCAGCAGCCTCTCACAGACGGCATACACAACATCCGTGGAGGCACCCTCCATGACAAACATAACAAAGCCCATTAACTCGTGCAAGCCCTGATAATAGTGCCGTTCGGTATTATTTGAAAGCACACGCTGCAAGAGTATCTCCAACTTTCCGCGCATCACCTCCCGCTTTGCGGGGTCACGGTACAACAACCAAAGCGACCTCTGCACATCGACATGAATGACACGCGAGGCGCAGTTATCTGGCAATTCCAACAAATCCACCGTTTTGCTATCATCTCCTTCCCATTCCTCTGCTTCAACCTCTTGGGCAGCGCCGCTTGGCCGTGGCGTGCCCGCGCTTGTCGGGCTGAAGGAGCCCTGACTACTGCCCCGTGTGATGCCTCGCACGGGCGGCATAAGCTTAACCTTGCCGAGGCCAAGCACCACATGACCCCAGGCTGCGCGGCGAACCGTATTGTTTTTTAGCCCTCCCTCTTCTATGCACCTACTTCGGCACTTCTGCAGATATAAGTCCGCGTCTTGCAAACATTCCCGGTTCCTCACGCGGGGGCGCTCCTCTGGCTCCTGGCAGCTCGGCTCGCTCTCACTGCGGCATAGTTGCATCGCCGCCGCCACTAACTTCTGTTGAAGCACTCCACAGGCCCACCTACTCAAGTGTGTTGCCACGTTGGACACGCCACTTGCACCCGCAGAAAGACACAAATCCCTGACGTCAACAGGGGAAGGGGTGAAAATAGTAATAATGATAGAAAGAGGCACACAATCGAGGGCAGAGACATGCATAAATCTCAACAAAAGACACGCAGGGGACCATGACACACACACACACACACACGCACACAGACACAGATGCATATGCATACATGTGAATGCCAGTCCCCCCTCCCCTCCCTGTGAGAAGAAAGAAATTACCAACGACGCGAACTCGCTCCGCAGTGTGGGGCCTACAGAAGCATCGAAAGACAAGCCCAAAGGCAGTGGCAACAATAAATCACAACAAAAGAACAATAAGCAGAAAAATATCTTCTAATAGAAAAAAAAAAAGGCGAGAGATACGACAAACTGCAGTGGAATAGTAAAAAAAAAAGCCCACATAAAAAGCATGTCGCAGGGGACTCATTCGTACCGGCTTCTCTCAATGGTTTCCTCAATTGTAGGGCTTCGCCTCCATTCCTGTGGGGGGCTCCGCCTTCACCTCCCGGTTTCCCACATCCTCCCAATTTGTTGACAAAACGGTCCCGTTGCTCTCCAAAAACGATTTCATCATTGCACGGCGTTGCTCATCAGTGCCGTTGCTGTATATCTGCTGGAAGAGGGCGTTCAGCGCCTGGTCCCCCTCTGGCTTCACGTCCTCGTCGTCAATCTTCCACGCGTTCCAGTCCTTCCCGCGGCTGTTTGGGTACTTCAGTTCCCCCGCCGATGCCGGCGGATTGACGGTGGCAATCGGTGCCGATGTGGCTAACTGTGGCGGCGCACTGGGGCCACCGTCGGGTGCTTCCAGCGTCGGCCACTGCAGCTCAGATGCCTTCTTTAGCGACACTTCAACCTTCGTTGTCCGGACGTTCACCACAGGTATTTCGCCGGCCAGCGAAGCGTAAAGGCGGTCGACGGTGTACTGATACTCACGCCCTGACGCGTCGAGGCGAATTGTCACCGACAAAGACTGCGCCCCCGCTTCCACCCGAACATCCCCTTCCTGGCGATCACGCACGTAGAAACAGAAACTCACGCGGGCCGGTGACTGAAACCATTCACAGCGCACGGTGCCCTCAAATGGCTTCGTTGTTACACTCATTGTTGTGTGTGGTGAAAATAGTGAATGAACTTGTGGCTTAATTTACTGTCACGGAAGATCTTAACGGTGTGAAACCCAGCGAGAGAAAACGAGGGTGGGGGGAGGAGAGGCAAAAAAGCCGCATGTATGTACGCCAGTCCGACAGCCTGTCGGCGGGAAATGTGTGCGTGTCAACTAGAAAGAAAGAAGGAGGGTGAGCAGCCGCTGGGGAGAGCCACTCCATCTACGCCGCAGCGAAGACAGAATGCCCCGAGCCAGCGACGCACCACACACACACAGACAAATAAATAAAAATCACACAATAAAAACAAAAAAAACCACGAAGGTAAGCTTCGAGTTCAGTGGCGCAAGCTGATCAATTCTTGGAGAACTTCTTGCCCAGCTTGTCCGCGGCGGACTTGCTGACAACCTCCAGCACGTTGTAGCGGATCGTCTTGCTCAGCGGGCGGCACTGGCCAACCACAACCTCATCACCAGGCTTGGGGTCAAAGCAGGGGCTGCAGTGCACCGTCAGGCTGCGGTGACGCTTCTGGTAACGCTGGTACTTGCGGATGAAGTGCAGGTAGTCACGGCGAATGACGATGGAACGCTTCATCTTGGTGGAGTGCACCACACCGCGAAGAATGCGACCACGGATGGACACGTTGCTGGTGAAGGGGCACTTGCGGTCAATGTACTTGCCGTTTACAGCCGCCTTGGGTGTCTTGAAGCCCAAACCAATCTTCTTGGAGTAGCGGATGTGGCCGCTCATGTTCACGTGCTTCTTGTTCGGGTTGTGAATGTTCTCATTCACCGCCGTCTGACGCTGGTAGGCCTTCTCATGCTGCAACGTCAGATCGACGGAGTGCACGCGGGCGTATTGCTGCAAGGCTGTCATTGCGGTTATGCCTACTGAGCTCTGTGGACCAAAGCGGGGGAAACAGCAAACACGCACAATCGGAAAAAGAAGGAAAAACGGAAACAAAAACAAAAAAGTAAAAGGCGATAAAAATATATAAAAGAGAAAGCTGAATACATGCAAGCAAACTAAGCGTACACGTTGTGTAAAGTGCTGCCTGAAACAGAGATCTAATGGTCAGTCAAACACGTGTGTGCGTATGTGAAAGTTTTTGGCGTTGTCTGGACTCTACAGCTGGTGTGGGCCCTCCGTGCACCCAGGGACCTTCACAAAGTCGTCGAACTCGTAGCACTTCTTGTCGGGGCAGCACTTCCAGTACTTGTAGGTGTCCCAAAAAACCGGTCCCCCTGTGTGATACCGACACGCCTTTGGGTGATTCTCACTCACTGCAAACTCTTGCTGGCAGCCGTAGTGGCGACACCGCGCCTTACCATCCACAATCTCCTGCTGCTGTGGCTGCCGCTGCGCCGCCACCGCCCCCTCAAACTCCCTCGGCCCAGTGGTGCGACCACCCGCAACGTTTTCGCCGGTATCCTTTGTGAGTGCCTGGACCTGTTCTAGCGCCAAGGGCTGGTTGGTCGGTGCCGCGCTCACAAAGGACACCGGCCTGTTCTCTGTGCTGTGGAGGCCCACACGACAGGCGGGGATGGCCTTGAACTCCTCCCAGTCGCGGGCCCGGTGCGTCGGGCAACACCGCCAATACTTTTCAATGTCGTGGAAGACAGGCGGCTCCGCATGGTAGTGGCACGCCGAGTCGTGATTCTCCGCAGGGATAAAAAACTGTCCACACCCAAAGTTTGTGCACACCAACGAACCTGGTTTTTGCTCCTGCAGCGCGGACTTTGCTAGGTGTCTAATCTGCACATCGTTGTACTCATGTATGCGTGTCCCCACCACATCCGACTGCTTCAGCTCCACGTTGCCACACCACAGGCTAACCTCCGCAGCCACCAGGGGATTGTCAGGGTGCTTTTTGTTATACGTGGAGACTACAAAGCTGAGCAGCTTCTCGCACGGCCCGCTGAGCCAGCTTGCCGGGATATCCATTTTCACCTTGAAGACCTCCGTCAGGCTGCCGTCCACCACGCACCCATTCACATCTTTTCCTTCGTAGATAAAGTACACCTTCATATCCCCCTCCTCCAGTCGCTGCTGTTGTGATTATTATTATTATAGTTGTTGCTGCTACTGTTGCTAGTCGTAGTAGTAGTGCTAACGGCACCTCCAAAAAGAAGCAAATATGTGTATGTGTGTGCGGGTGTGCGAGTGTGCGGGTATGCGAGAAAGGGGCGGGAGATGCGAGTGATGGAGCAAATGGCAGCGCCACCGGAAATTCCCACAGTAAAGCAAGTCTCCTCTTTCGGAGTGGATACGAACGCAGAGGGGGGAAACGGTGCCCTCGCCGTTTATCCACAGCGTCTACGGACCGAGGGCAGAGGCGACAGTCATCGCGGAACTATCAAAGGGAGGAAAAACAACAAACAAAAAACAATGTAGGAAGGAAGTTATGCTTCGTTTTTCCTCTACTGTTCTAATTTTGCGCAGCGTGGGGCGGTGGGCAACCCATGTTCGACGCATACAAAGGCGTGTTAAAGGACTGCATAGACAAATCCGCACCCGCATGCTGCTGGGCCACCGTGTCACGGCAGCGCGACATATTTACCATCTGCGGGCGGTGCAAGGCTGTGGAGTCCGGTAAAAACGCACTTTCAGCGTTGTGGCTCATGGGCGCACCATTTTCTGTGGCTCCGGGGTGAGAGGTTGATGGGTGAGTCGGCGGCATGGCGTTCGAGCGTATCATGCACTGCAGCCTCATGTTTGCCCGCTTCGCCTCATGGACGGCACGCTTCGCCTCCATGATGCGGCTCCGCCGGCTCCGCAGCCACAGGTCGTAGGCCGCGGTTTCCACCTCAGTCATGATACCGTACTTCGGCAGGGAGTTCCAGAGGTACATGACAACGCCAACAACGTAGGTGAAGTACCCGACACTGATGAACACAAACAGCGGCACGATGCTGCAGAAGGGCAGGTACGCCATGGAACGAAGGCCGCAGTTCTGCAGGTATTTCCGAAGAAGTGCACCCGTAACGTTCGCCATGAGGGCCGCCCGCAGCAGGAGGGAGATCAACGCAATCTCAATCGCCGAGAGAACGTCCTTTCTAAACGTGAAGTTCCTCCAACTGACGCCGAAAAAGTTCACATCAACCGCACATCGGTTCGCCAGGCCAATCAGCAGCGCAAAGCCGCTGAAGAAGACCGCCAAGTACATCTGAACGGCGTGGTCCGCGAAGATTTTGTATGAGTTGTCCGGCAAGAGCAGCAGATGGACGTCCGTGAAGGCGTAGAGGGTGCGCCGCGTCTCATTGAACGGGCAACCCTGTAACTTCGCCTGCAGCGCAGGGACCAACTCGAGCGGGTTCGGTGCCCACACGGAGTGGACGAAGGTGCGCTTGCAGGCTATCACAAAACTCGTCACGTACACCAGGAAGCAGACCAGCTGCACCACCGTGACAACGCCATAAAAGCGAATGACAAACCGCTCGCAGTTCAGGCGGCCCTTATTAGGGCGCCGCTGAAGGTCGCTCACAACGTGCATGCCACGCGCTTCTGTTCTTCAGTCCCGTTCAAAAAAAAAATATAATAATAATAATAATAAAATGCGGGGCCAACTCAACACATACAGAGAGAAAGAAAGTCCAACTGAAGCAAAAACAACAATCACCACCACCACACACTCCCCTATACATAAATGCACACAGGCAGTAGTGTACAGATGGAAATACACAGATAAAGCCTCAGGTAGCTTCACACGAAGGAATCACAAAGTCGTTTCTTTACCATCCGCCTCATCGTGCTGAAGGGAAAGGTTTATGCCGTACAGTACCGCGGCGCACCCTGTGAGGAATGGCAGCTTACAGGCACGCCTTGCCAACGCCAGCGCCTCTCCAACGCTCCGCGGTGGGGGCAGAGGTCCAAGGCCATCATCGACGTCGTCTCCTGCAAGCAGCAAAAGAAGTCGCTTAGTCAATCGGTCAATTTCGCCGTCTGTTACGTGCCACAGGCATCCAAGAAACAATGGACATCCGGCATGCAGAAAAGCGTACGGCATACCGTAAGAGTCATGTGAGGAGCCACTCTCCATGTGCGCACTGCTGCAGCCCATGAGGAAGACAGCAGGAAACTCGTCCGGCTCAGGAAACCTTTCATACAATTCCCCCCGGTGTACTAAGCTTTCCCCCCTTCCGTGCCCGATATACACATAAAGTTTTGCCCGAGACGAGTACAGTTCCTGCATGAGCTGACCGGAAGACATAGCGTGTGTGTTTGTCGTCCATCCACTTCTCTGACAGACAGGGAGAAGACGCTTCGATGTCTTCGGCATGACTCCAGCGGGGTCAATGACACAATACACCAGACCGCCGCGAAAAAACACCGATCGTACGCCACTGGTGGAAATAAATGTTGGTGTGGGAACGCGGGCCACGTTTCCCGCGCGAAGAACGTCCATGCCCTCAAACGGAAGGCTGTGCAGCTCGTTGTCCAGGACAAGGTACAACGGGGTACGCGAGAGGGCACGCACATCGCGGTGCCCCGAGTTAGACGAACGCGGCGCTGGCATCGCGTTCCACATATTCGTAAGCGCGCAAAGGCACGCATCACGCGAAACGGCAAACACGTCCGTTGAAGCTGCGGCAATGCCGTGCTTGAGAAGCTCCATCTCCAGCGCCGCAGAGAGACTGTGCAACACCGCGTCACACGAGGCACAAGTGCCCTCCGCCGACCCGTGAGACGGACTAAATAACACGTGACTGCCGGCGTCGCGGTGTGCCACCAGAAATGGAAGGCCCGCCAAAAGCAACGTCACGTCCGACATATGATGCGCGGGTGCTTCAATGCCCTCAAGCAATTTAGCGGCTACCTTCTCCAGCTCTAAAAGGCAGGAGGGAGACAAATCACCGCACATCGCCACACGCCAGCATCCAAAAATCTCGTCGGACTGCATCTTCGCAACGACTTTCTGCAGTGCGCCATCAAACGCGTATCGCTGCCTCCACCACTCAGCCCTTGCCTGCCCACTCTGCCGCTCCACTTCGCTGCTGCTAACAGCCTCCGTCGCGCGGGAAGGCTCCTCCTCCTCCTCCTCCAAAGCAGGGGCATCTTTGCAGGGGGCGGCGCCAAGGTGCCGCCGATTCTGCACCTCTATTTCAAGCATATTGGCCACCACGTCCAGCAACGCCTTTCCAACTGGCAGAATCTTCTCCCACGGCGTCGCTCCCTCGACACTGCCGCTGCGGACGAGGCGCACACCCTTACAATCACCTGTCAGACGCACCTGCAACTGACAATGACGCTGAACAGCCGTCCCCAGAGGAGGGGTACCGCCAAGTGCATCGAAGACACAACGCCGCGTAGAAAATGTGCGCCCCACAACGACCGACTTCGTTTGCCGATACGGCGGCGTCATTCCCGAGAGACGAGGCGGAAGCAATGGGAGTAGCGCGCTAACAACAGCCGTCCAACGTTCATCCGCATCATCATTGAAGCAGCCCTGCGCAAAGGCAGCGATCGCATGCAGTGTTACAAGCAGATTCGACTGCGACGGCAACCGCTCGCAGATGCCTGCGAGAAGCGGGAGAAAACACCTCGCAAGTGGCAGGTCCCCCTCGTCCACAAGACGCGTAATAAGACGAGACAATCCGTCAAGGACAAAACTCGGGACGACTTTGTCGCCCAGCAGCTGACGCCCAAGCGCCTTGTCCCCGCGAATCATTGTCAGTCCTGCCGGCAGCATGTCCTCCAGCGCCTCCGCCGTCGCAAGGAGGTGCAGCACGTCGGTGGCGCACCACTCCTGCGAAATCTCGTGCAACAGCGGACCTGGTTCCGCAGCGTGGGCGTGGGCGTGTGCGGCAACCCGCTCTCGTGCCGTGCAGTTCACACCTCGTCCACCGCTGACTTTCGCGGCCCCGCCGAGGAGGGACTCAAGCTCCCTCCCCCACAGCAGCAACGCGCCATCGCCCAACCTTGGCGATGACCCCGCTCGGAGGAGCTCAGCTGCAATGTCGGTATAGCGGTGCCGCAGTGCAATGGCCACCACACTGGACACTGAGGCAACGGGGAAGCCCCCAGCCGACGCGTGCTCCCCTCCCCCAGAGAAATGCCTTAAGGCACACGCCACACGCAGCAGTGTAAACGTTTCTCGCGGCACACAGAGATCCTTGCCCACAGCAGCTTCGCGAAGGAGAGTAGCTTCCTCGGGTGACAGGTGAAGTGGGCGTCGAAACTCCGACAGATAATACGTGCTCTCCATAGCAAAAGTCTCACGTAGAATACTTGTTGCCCTGGAAGCACGACGGCGCACCTCCTCCTGGGCTGCGTGGAGCAGTGCGCAGCCCTCAGCGTACAGCGCCGTACAGAGACGGTCCCACTTCGCAACCACTTCGGATCCATGCAGACCCATCCGCAGACACGCGTTTTTGCCGGCAGCGCACACTAACTCACACTCTGTTATTTCCCGCAGATCCGGGGGATGCGTTTCATTGTAAATCTCCTGCATTAGGTAAAATGACACGGTTTTTGCATTCCCGACGCGATCAGCAAAGGCAAGCGTGTTGTAAAGCCAACACGCACTTATCTTCTCAAGGGTCGATGTGTCCCTTGCAAGCTCTGTGAAAATTTGGCCAGCGACGTGAGAAAACCGTAGAAACCCACCCACGCAGCTACTTTTCGATGCCGTAGCCGTGAGCGCGCCCTGCCACACCATCAAGGCGGTGCAAACAACAGCCGGTATGTCTCTTTCGCCATCTTGCAAGCTGGCCACGGCGAGCATGGAGCGCGCCAGTGCACATCCGTCCTCCGCCCCCTGTTCGCTCAGTAACGACGCCAATCGCCTGAAGGGCTCCGGGCAGAGCTCAAACGCCGTCTTGATGAGCGGTAGCGCCAAGTCCCCCCGCCCCGCTTGCAGCGTGCAGCGAGCGGCAGAGGCCAATAGGCGTACTGTGCGCCACGCATCACCCACGAGACTCACCGCTCCCGTTGCCGCTGCCGCCTTGGCGGCTGCCAGGACGGCCTGTAGCTCCGACTCGTCCACCAGCGGGCTCGTTGCCTTCTGAAGAAGAATCTCACCGACAGCTGCAGGCCGCATGGAGCAGAGGCCACACGAAGCTTGCTTCAAACAGGGGGAGGGTGCGTGCCTGTGCACAGTAAACCTCACAAGCACACAAAAAGCAAAAAAAAAACACGTGAAAAAAAAAGGCGAGTAGGTTGAAGTTCAGAAAACATACATGCAGCGCTGGACCGCCGCCGCCGCCCACGGCGCCTGAGAAAACACACAGCCACACACATACGAGTACTGTGAGGGAAGCATCCGGTGAGGAGAAACAAAAAGTATTGAGACGAAAGCAGGTGAACTACAAGTCGTACACACACAAGCAAAAAAAAGAAAAAAAAACGTTGCATACGCAGCCGCCACACCTTACCGAATACTCTCTATATTTTTTTTGACGACAAGCAAAACGTGGCTCTTCCACTCGTCCAGCATGTGGAGATCGTTAAGAAGTGATACAGCTGCATCGAACTTATTCATGTCAGCCCCTTCCACCGCCTCGGCGCACATCTGAAGGAATTCCGTCTCACGAGTGTTCTTCAAATACTTGTCGCGCGCCATGTAGGTTTCAAGCGCCTCCAACGCCTCAGCGCCTTTTTCAAGACGATTATCATCTGTCACGATGGCAAAGCGGCAGAGCATGGCTCGAAAAAAAAACTCCTTCGCCTGGTAGGGCAGCGAACCGTCCGCAGCCATGTTACCTACCTCCTCGTAAAGCGCCAAGGCCTTATCAAACATGTCATTTTCACCATATATTTTTGCCATGGCAGCCATGCAGGCCTGGGTTCGATACTTCATGTTTTCCGCGCTGAAGTACTGCGTAGCCTTCTCATAGTGAGGGATTGCCTCCATCCCCCGAGAAACTTTGCAAAGAGCCTCTGCAAATTCCTCCTCCAGCTTTGCGGCATCGCTCAACTTATTGCTATCAATTTGTAGGGCGGTGGCAGCGTCTAAAATTTGGGCTGCCTGGTTCAGGTCCGTTTTCATGTACGCGTTCACGGCTTTCGCGTGGGCCTGACAGGCAATCAGCTTGTTTTTGCACTTGACCGCGCAATCACTGGCCCGTATGTATGCCTCCCCGGCACGGTTGTAGTCCTTCGCAAACTTAAACCGCACGGCTGCTGCTTCAAATAGTTCCATCGCCCCTTCGTAGTCCTTGAATAAAAATCTGTTTATCTTGCCTTCGGCCTGTTGGTACTGGCTCTCCGCGGACATTGTATGCAACCTCTCCTCAGCCCTGTTCAAACGCCAAGACTCTGCCTTGTAAACACACCTGAGACACCCTCTTTCCTTTTTTTTTTTTTTTGTATGTGTGCAAATACAATGGGTGTGTGAGCAGCACAAGCGAAGAAGAGGGCAACCAACTGCAAAAACCACAAAAGGCACATAAGGGTGAAGTTCACCTCTCGTTTTTTTTTTCTACTTTCCGCGTTACTTTCATTCCTCCTCGGGAGATCTTGGACACCGAGCTTTGATTTCGTGTTAATGGCTACACAACGTAAGTCCATTGTGGCCCTTCAAGAGGGATACAAAAAAAAAAGCGGCATGTATAGCACGTCCCCAGTTCACTAATAGCCCATCATAATTTTTTGATCAAGTTATCAAAGAAGAGGGTTTGTGGGCAAGCACACACATAAACAGGGATGGAAAAAAAAAAAAAAGACACCGTCCTGCACGCACCACCGGAACCCAGTTTTATATATTCTGGACACTTTTATCTTCGCATAATTTAAGAAAACACATATTCTTGTTTTCACAGTTCGAAAAAAATGTAAACAACAGAAGAGGGAGAACGTCAGCCAGATGACGCACTCGATTCTCCAAATACGCACCAGCAAACAAACATTATAAGCCTAGTGTTGATCTGTTGGTGGGTACGGGCCCATCGGGTGCGGCAGCGGTGGGTAGTATGCGGGCTTCCTCTGAAGTGAGAAACCACCATATTCATTCATCCCACCATAAAGACCCATGCCCATACCCATGCCCATGCCCATATTCATATTCATACCCGGATACCCTTTGTACATGCGTGGACGGTACGGCATGGCGTCCGGACTCATATGGTACGGTACCGAGTTGTACGCACTGTGGTATGATTGCCCCGACGTATCTTGCTGCATGTAACGTTGCTGTGGTTGTTGTGCCTGATATTGATACAGATGGTGTTGACCAGGGCTTTGGTGCTGAAGTCGTGGTTGCTGCTGCTGCTTATGATAATGATGGTGGTGATGCACTGGGTAGAGATGGCTTGCGTCAGCCGTCTGTGGGGGCTCCTTGTGTTCAGGCTGTGCAGCGAAGGCAGTTGGCCGAGGTGTCGTCTCCGGGCCGTTGGCAACCGAGGGGTGTCTGGTCTCCTCCAACGTTGTTGGGGGTGTCGGCACAACACCGACAAAGTTAAACTCCGCTGACACTAGCTTTGCTAGTTCAGGGGGAAGCGCGATGGGACCCAGGTGGGCAAGTGCTGCCGATGTCCGCGGCGGCGATTTATCCCTGACAGTGGAGGCTACCGGTTTCTTATCCACGGCGGGCGGGTGGGCAAGCGGGGCGGAGGACGGAGCGACATTGCTCCTCACGTTGCTGCTGCCGCTCTCTGCTTCCGAACTTGTGAGGGTGGCAGAGGGGGCGACAGGCCCCTTATCCTTCGGAGCCGCCAGCTTCTGCTGCTTCAGCTTCTCTGCCAGACTTCCGGAGGCCCACGCGGACATCACCTTCTTCACCACAACTGGCGAGCGACGTCAAAAACACCCAACCAAAAACTAACACATTGCGAGGCAAAAAAAAAAAAAACTCAAAAGAATGTGATGCCACACACACACACACTCACACGATGAGAACCACCGCGTGTAGCAACGGCGCCGCCCCCGGTGCAACAGCGACGGCAACAAAAAAACAAAAACAAAAAGGTGTGGCGTAATTCTGGTAACTTAAAAGTAAATAACAGGGGAGTAGAAGCGCCTCACTCAGCATCGCCCGCCTCGTCCTCAAGGCGAGCCAATACCGCCACCATCTCGACATGCGGTGTGTGTGGGAAGAGGTCCACTGCAAACCCCGCCACCACGCCAAAGGGCAGTCCACGGTACGCTTTCGTGGTGGGCTTCGTCAAGGGGGGACAGTCCCGCTCCAGTGCCTTCTGCTCGCATGAGATGTACACCACACGCCGGATGGTTTGGGTGCCACGAATCCACTTAAGCACCGTTGGTGTCATGCCTGCCCGGGGAGGATCCAAAATTGCCACAATATCGGTTTTATCCTCAGCTGGCAGGGCATTAATAATATCAGGCAGGAGTTGCTCCACACGACCGCCGTGAAATGTCACGTTGGTTATGTTGTTGCTTTCAGCATTTCGCCTCGCATCGCGTACCGCGGATTCAACAAGCTCAATACCAATGACCTGCTTCACGTACCTGGCAAGTGTAAGGCCTATGGTCCCTGTACCGCAACAAAGGTCCAAGAGTGTCGTTGTTGAACTCAGCGCCGCAACCTTCGCTGTCTCGCGTAGCAGCAGTTCCATTCCCGCGGTGTTCACCTGAAAGAAGGAAGTGGGGCTTAGCTCAAACTGAAGACCGGCAAGGCTCTCCGTGAGTGTGGATGTGCCAAAAAGAATATGACGCGGCACATCCGCTGCAGAAGAGCTGATCATCCCGGTGCCGTGATGATACTGGACACTCACCACGGCTGCGGTGTCATTCCCAGACACCGTCCTTAGTTTTCGCTTTAACGCGTCGCTCAACAGCGCGTCCGTCAATTGCGCCTTCACATCATTCACCACGGACGCCTCCGCGCTGTCGATGTCCAGCTCAATATCCACCATAACCTCGCCACGTACGTTATGGCGCACCTGCAGCTTTCGCCAGAACCCCTGCTGCCTTACCTTGTCGAACACCACCAGGCCCCCTTTCTCAGGCGGCGAGAAAATGTGATAAACAGACATTACTGCCTGAGCCAACGCCTTGGCTACCGGATGCACTGTCACAATGTCTCGTTCAACGACTGAATCAATGGCGCACGTACCTTCAACCATTGCACCCTTCATAAACCCAATCGAGGGCTCCGCATCCTCGGTGTAGCCAAATGAAAGTTGGACGTGGTTGCGATAGCCAGTCAGCTCTGGACTGGCGTGGATACCAGCGAAGAGCTCTTCGTGCTTGCCTCCTCGTGGGGCTATCGCCCTCATCACCTGTAAACAATGCCTCTTCTTGCGAGAGAGCTGTTCCTCCATGGCACATCCCTCCCACTGAGAAACTTTGCTTTGCCCCAAGCATTCCTTATCACGTGGCCGTTTCCGAACATTGCCCTTGTGGGTAAGCTGCAGATCTCGCTGCGTCACGGGTAACTCCTGCCACTTGTTTTTTCCCACGAAAAAGCATCCCCCGCAGAAGCTCTGCGGCTGCGGCACCGTCCTCAGGTGTCTGAAACGCCATAAAAAGGAGCGGTGTATTCGGGTTTTTGCCCATGCGCAACAGCCCGTTGAACAGCGGTTGTGGAGGCGCATTCGTCTTGGGTGGCGGCAGGCTTTTCATGATCATTTTTTTTATCACCGACGTCGTTGAGTAGTTGTCGTGCGTGTCAAACTTCAACAGATTCTCGTTGCTGTGCTCCCGAAGAACGACACCATCCGTGGGGCCTCTTGAGACCTCCTTCTCTCCACTCTCATGGCTCTCAATCCCCATGCTTTACTGCTGCCGCTGCTGCGAATAACAAGAAAGGGAGAATAGAAGCAACCATGTGGCGTACGCCACATCAAAAGGGGAAACAGGCGTTCGTGCGTGTGTAGGTGTCAGAGAGAGAGAGAGAGAGAGAGAGAAAGAAAGAAAGAAAGAAAGAAAGAGTGAGAAAGAAGGAATAAACAGCGGATAAAATACTTCGGACAGCGAGCTTGACTAAGCGAAGGCTCCTTCAGTTAACGCCTCCGGATTTTTGTGCGCGTCTACGTTTATGTACGTTTTGCCGCAGCTTCCACCCGGCCCTCGACGACCGCCAGCAACGCATGCGTGAGGAGGTCGAGCGACACCTCAAACTCCTCCTCTGGCACCGCAACAACGACAACGTAGTGAAATTTGTGGTTTGAGTTGTAAAAGGCACGGCAGAGTCCATGGGCCAAGGGCTCGCCAGCGGCAGGTGTAAACGTGATGTCCGCCACGGCGCAGTCGAGTCGGCTGGCCAGGGACTCACTAATACTACGCGTGGATGAATCTGCAGCTGCGGCAACTCCGCTCCGCCCAGCTGACTGCGATACAACCTCCAAGGAGTTGGAGACGGACGCGTTAAATCGCTTCAGGAAGAGGCTGAGAAGCCTCGCACTGTCCGGCTCGTTTACCTTCTGCTTGTAGGCAAAACAATTGAGCGAAATACCGTGAACCGTCGGCTGCCCCGCGGTAGGGTCAGCCAGTGGCGGTCGACACTGAATCGCGAGGCTGTTCTCGCCAACCCGCTCCGCCACCAACCAGTTAGACGGCACGCTGTACTGTACGTAAAAATCCAGGCGCTCGCAGAGGTCCCAACTGACATCCGCAATCGTTGAGGCAACATCCACGCGGGGCTTTCCCCACATACCACCCCCAGTGATAGCAGATGCGAACTTCATGCCTTTGCCCACAACACTTGCCGCGTTGCCCCCCGTCGCGTCCACGGGACGGGCGTTCCACCGCGCGAGTACCGCTTCGCGCGACACCTCCCGGCGCTGAACGCTCCTCGTAGGGGTCAGCCTCGGCAGTATGCGCGCAGCGCGGGAAAGCACACGCATGAATCCCCCCTCCCCTTCCTATACCCAAATCCACCCCAAACACTGCACGGACCTCCCCAACAGGACCAAGGAGAAAGAGAGATCAGGAATGGAAAAGAAACAACAACAACAACAAAACATATTCGCTTGTGAATGAGATAAAATAAAATACGGGGGCGCAAGCAGAATAATGCAGGAAGACTTTGTGCCGCATCAACAATAACACAGTTAACGAGACGTTGACTCCCTGCCCATCAATCCCCTTCACCCAACCACATCCGGCGTCTGCCGTTGAAGGATTGTCTTCCAGCGCGAGCAGACAAGCCGCCTCGATTCGAAAAGGACGTATCTCGCCATATCCCTGCGAGTAAGAATGGGCGTGTTGACGATGGCGGGTTCCGCCTCCTTGAGAAAATCCTTCAAGGCATCTTTGGCCAGCAGCGTCGCCAGCGCATCCGGCGTCATCTCCTCCTTTTCAAAGGGATCTGTCCCAATCTTTGACAGCACAGCGTTCAGGCGATTCTCACAAACGTGGTCCAGCAGGAACTTTGAGGCATCCAGCTGCACTGGATCGTGTATGACGCTTTCCAGGTCAGGCAGCTGAACACCCGAGCGGCTAATCGAATCCCGTCGCACAACTTCCATTTCGTCAACGCGAGGCCCTTGGCGCCTGTCCGTCGAAATCTCCTGAAAGGCGGTACACTTAAACTTCAAGATGGTCAACCCCTTGGGGTCGAAGCCCGGCTTCCCCCGCTTCGCATGCTTCACCACGAGTCCCTCTGCCCAGTTTCCCTTCAGTGGATAGTTGCCCATCCCAACAAGTGGAGGAATGGTGGTGACGAAGTGCTCCACATCGAAGGCCGCCACCTTCGACATTGGCCCTCTAATAATAGCCCTCGCATACAGTAGCCCAGGGATCTTCTGAAACAACTCCGTTGCCTCATCAAACATGAGAGTGTTGTACTCAGCATCCACACTTTCCTTGTATTTGATGTCAAACGCATAAAAATGAAGGTCTGGACTGTATTGCGGGAACGAATCTGTCTGCACGGCACTGATTGTCCGAGGCTTTCCCGCTACCATCACTGTTTTTCGCGTCTTGGGCAAACTAGGGTGATCGTACTTCCCCCCAAACAACTCGCCGTTTATGAGAACGGTGTGCAACTTCCTCTGCAGTTTGTCACAGAGCATCTCACGGGTGGCGGTGATGTACTGCTGCAGCTGCGGTATCAAAATATGATAGCCGAAGAAGTGCTCGGTGGGGAGCATAATGCCGCTTCTCTTCGCATAGCGTATCATTTTGCCACCGTCGATGGAGTAGATGCCAAAATTGGCGCCGTGCACCTTCTCCGTGGCAATCCACTCATCGTCAAACATGCTGCATGCCCTCAGTGCACTAATCCGTCGTTCGTTGGAGTTCTCAATTTCGGTGTACCGCTCGAAAAGACTAACCACATCGTCAGCAAGCCACAGCGGCGTTCTACTAAAATGCAGTCGCACGCAGCGCCGCAGCATCGTTGATGAGACCAAATAATTCCTGGTGAGGAAAAGCAACGAGAAGGAAGCAGCATCACATTCTGGCACTCAGGGTAAGAATAAAAACAGCGCTAACAACAACCAATGCGAAACAACCGCGGCGCATCCACCTTCTTCTGCTTCTCCTCCCCCCCCCCCCCCACCACACACACGAAGAGCACCAACAGCAATACAAAGATGCAAAAAAGTTACATCGCCCGCCGATGGCTTCACAGTGGAACGTGTTGTTTTTCAGCCACCAGCTTCACCCTACTCGGACAGCATACGTACACATCTGCATCGGGAAACGCATTCAGTTTCGCCACATGCTCTGCATACACCGTAAACTGGTTGGAGGAGCACATGTAGATGACGTCTTGCAGAACAACCGTCTGACGCAGGATGAGCTCCCTGGCCTTTAACTCCAAAACAGCATATGTGGGCATTTCATCCGGCACAATGATGTCACCGCCGCTGTGCTTTGGAGAGGTTGGGTGACGAGCCACAACGTGCGTGGATTTACCCGAGAGAGTTAATTCTCTTCCCATGGCTTCCACGACGGTTGGACCAATTTCGTCCCCGTCAACAAAACAAAAGACGTTTGTGGGTGCACGCTTAGGTCTCAAGCGAACTGACAGCTTTACCTGCAGGACCCTTGCCACCTCCTCGTTCATTACTAGCTGTTTTAGCAAATTTTTCTCCGTGATGCCTGTTTTCTGCATTGCAAGACGCAAGGGGACATAGGCGCCTTGGTGACCCATCAGCGCCCTCCTGCGACAGAAGTCGACAATGCCGTGCGGCCCATCTTTTCCACACGTAGAGGCACCAGGGGGCGCACCGGTGACTGGCTTGACCGTCCACTTTCCAGCGGGCTCCGATTCCACGAGGAATATGTGCGGGTAGCTTTGAATCGCGTCCTTGAGGGAAAGCGCCCCCACCACTGAAGGCTGAAAGTACGGCACCTCGTCCTCCAGTATCGCCTGCAGTTGCGAGCCACTCACCCCTGTCGAGGGAATTTTCGCCGCCACCTTTAAAAGCATCAACTCCACCTGGCTTCGCTCGCAATCACCGTCCGCTGCCATGTAGACGACGCCAGCGTCAATTCGGAAGACCGACGATGACCGAAGCTGCGCCTTGGCGTCCTCAAAAGAAATTACCCCGGTATCGGTAATGGCAGACGCTAAAACATCTTCCGCCACACCCTCGTGAAGTCCCACGCCCTCTGCGGCACAGCTGCGGCGAAATGCGGACCGCATCGACGCCTCTGATAGTAGGAAGCGGCACACAGGGGATACCGAAAAAACACCGCTCAGAGATATGCGTGTGGGAGCGAAAAATGCCCGCATTACTAAAGAAATAAGCCAACACGGTACAGGACAGAGCAGAACCGAATATTACCCCTGAGTGACTCCTTGTCCCTTCTTCCTGCAAAGAGAGAGACAGGGACAGAGACAGAGAGATAGCACAGAGAGAGGTTCGAGTTTGGGTTTGGTGCGCCCCCCAACATCTTGCGAAAGTCCGGGCAGGGGTTACGCCCCTCACAAACAACAGTGCCGCAACGGTACTCAAAAGATGCTTTACGATAACCAAAGTAGCTGGAAACCGAGGAAGTGGCAGTCTGTTGGGTACCGGCAACCGCCAATTCCTTTCGCGCAGAGGGCAAGAGCAGTGCAAGAGAGCTAAGGTGAGAGTAAGAGATCTACATTTGCACTGCCTTCCAGCGCGGTTTCGTTAAAAACAACAACAACATCATCATCAATTTATACGCAGAAAAACAGGTCATGTAAACACAGGCCGTCATTGTCTGCTTTGCCACCCCAGTCACATGCTCCTCTCCCATGAGCTTCTAACAAAACCTGGACGATCACGGCGCAGCAGGAGGTCTATGATGCCCCCATCTCTCCTTTCGTTTCATATCTTTATATATATATATATATATATGCCTCCTCAGCACAAAAAGCATCAATGAAGACAATCACATTAGCACCAAATTATGTTTAAAATTATTACTTCGGTGAACAACCCATCGTTGCACGATAGCGAGCAAAAATATTAAGTCAACACAGAAGGAGATGGCTGCAGTCAAGAAGCTGTAAAACGACAAACCAAACAAACAAACAAACAAACAAACAAGAAAAGAAGACCTGCCACCTCCCAGATATGTGTCAACAAACTAAAAAGCAGCAAAGCAAGGGATTACCCTAACCCGTAAAAGAGCCATTCAACATTGACAACGCGGCTACCAACCCCACGTGCATCTTCACGCCCTCCTTCATGGCCGCCTCATTTATGCGATGCCGCGAGCTGTAATTATGTCTGCTTGCGAAACTCCCACTTTCGTCCCCCACACCAAGCCAAAACAAGCACCCCGGTATTTTGGCAGCATACTCGGAAAAGTCTGCCACACCCATCATTGCAGTCGGGAGTTCAACAAAAGACACACCGTCAACTATTCGCTCTGCAACGTTCCTAACAACACCATACGCCGCCGGATCGTTGTACGTGACGATGTTGGGCTCCAGCCAACTCATCTCATACTGGGCGCCGTGCGCCTTCGCAATCCCAGAAACGATCCCCTCCATCAAGCCAGGCACACGCGCCTGAACCTCGCGATCCAGGCAGCGCAGCGTGCCGCGCAGGTGAGCGGTGTCGGGGATCACGTTGTAGCTGCCCGTTCCGCCCTGAAACATCGTCACGCTGAGAACAGGAGCGGTTAGGGCCCCGATGCGACGCGACACAACTGTCTGCAGGCTCGTGACCACCTCGGCAGCGATCACGATGGGGTCGGTGCAGAGCTCGGGCTGGGAGGCGTGCCCACCAGCGCCTTTAATCACTATGTCAAAGTCATTGCAGGCACTCATCATCACACCGCTCTTGCACGAAATTGTGCCAGCTGGGCTTGCAGCGTCAACATGTAAGCCAAAGATCATCTTGACACCCTC